ACTCCAGGATCATGACCTGAGCCGAAGGCAGTCGCTTAACCAACTGAGCCACCCAGGCGCCCTCTTTTTAAACATTTTTAAGTAGCCTCCATGCCCAACATGGTGCTTAAACTAACAACCCTGAGTCAGTCAGGCACCCCTTAATTTTTATTTTTAAGAGAAGTACCTTTATCCCACTGGTTTGTCTTTAAGGTTGAAATATAATAAAAATAATAAATAACAGCAAGCATACCTTGATTCTACATTAAAATCAAAGGGGAGAATGTAAAAAGTGGATGAAAGTATCACGCTGCCCTGCATTGTGGGTTGAAGTCAGAGGTATAGACTTTCTCCATCTTCTCCCTGGGCCCAGTTCCTCTGGCCTTTCCTGTGCCAGACCTCTCCTACTGCTTTGTTCTGTTCTCTCTGCTAGTGTGCTTTGGGCCTTGGCACCCACCACCACCATTACTGTGGTACAATCCATTGTACCCCCACCTTGTTCCTCTCTGGCCTCATTGCTACCATATTTCCCTTGCTTATTTTCCCTCCAGCCACACTGGCCTCCTTGCTGTGCCTGTGGCCCTGGCCCAGTGCAGGACCCCTCTACATCCTCGCCAGCCCACAAAGGCTCAAAGATATTTTAAGTTTGTTTAATAATACAGCCTAACTCAGCAGTCTGGAGTAAAATGCAACATTTAAGGTCATGTTATTTCATGGACAGTATCTTTTTTTGGTTCAGAAACAAACATTTCTCCCAGATTCATCTGGGCTATTTGGGATTTTCAGTGGGATTTTTTTTGGCTTGATTTAGGTTCCCCCAAGGAATATTTGGAAACATACATCTTTCCAGTTCTGCTTCCTGGAATGGCTAGCCTGCTTCACCAAGCAAAGAAAGAAAAATGTTTTGAGGTCAGTTGCTCTGTGGGGTTTATTTCTAAATGCTCAGTAATTCATTTTTATCAGATGGTACCTCATTATCTCAGTACCATCAAGTGGTCGTTCTCAAAACAATCCCTTTGGGAGGGAAAGCTCTGTTTTGCTCACTCATCTCCAGCCATGACATCTAGTTGTGCACACACATGCACCGCCATCTGTCTGGCTGCTTGGCTCTAGAGAGGTTTTCTGCCTTCTTGGCCTCCCTGCCTGCCCTTCTCCTGGGTAATTGGCATCTACCAGGTTTATTGGCTCCCATTGACTGTGTGTGTGGATTAAAGCTCTCCTTATATTTTATCTGACTCTGGATTGATCTTCCCACCTCTGGCCTCTCCATACTCCACTTCATGCTCAATATTATGCATGTAGCTTGCTTCAGGAGAGGCCTGGCCCACAGTGAGTGCTTGCTGAGCATTAGTCATGGTCACACTGCAGCCAGTTTTCTGTGTGAATGGAGTTCCAATCCTGGCTCACCCTCCCGTAAATACCCATGTGGAGGCTCCCTCTTTTCTACAGTTGACAGGATACTTTGGGGTGTGTGTGTTCCCTGCACAGTTTTGAGAATACTAGAATTTTGAATGGCCCACATGAAGAGAGTAAAATAGCAACAATATTTAATATTGGCCGAGAGCTTACTCTGTGCCAGGTGCTTTGCTGAATGCTTGACCATTCATTATTTCATTCAGCCCTTCCAAAAGCCCTATGAGATTCCTTCTGTTAGTGTCCTCTGCATTTTACAGATGAGGAAACAGAAGAACAAAGAGATTTAGAAAAGTGATCAAGATGAATTTGCAGAGTTAGGATTCAGATCCAGGTTATGATTCAAAATGATACTTAAAAAATTGGCAGTGCAATTTAACTACAGTGCAAACCTCAGTCAGCTGCTACATCCCAGAGTCTTTAGAGCATTCACAGCTAATTGTATCAACTGTTTCCTTGCCCCTCAGCAGAGTCTCTCTCTGAGAAGAGGTGCATACTGCCCGGATGGTGCTTTTACATACTGAGGAGACACCCATAACCTAGATAATCCTAACTTCATCCCTCCCAAACAATGGAAGTTGGAAGCTGTCCTCTAAATAGCTCCAGGAAATACTGATTTTTTAAAATCCATATCTGTTTTTTGAAGAACAGTTTTGTTACTTGCCGTAGGTTATAAAATCTGAACTGTTTCCACTTATAATTTTTTCATTTGCTCATTTGGCTTCTCCTGAGGGCTTAATGTCCGTCCCCCATTCATAATTGACCTTCCCCTCCACTGTGTGGTGCTAAGAGGTGCAAGGTGCCGCAGGGTGGAAGTGAGGCCAGGGGCCAGAGAACAGAGCCCCTAGCCTGACCCTGCTGATGTCAGGTGGCTTTATCGCTCTGGCTTCAGGTCCTGCTATTAAATGAGGGAGACCAGACCGTCCGCAAGTCACATTTCAGGGATCTTTCTTTTTAATCTTGCTGTTGGCCAAAGTATATTCAGTGTGCTGCACCTTTTATTAGATTGAACAAAGAATGGCACACAATGATTAAACAATGAAAGGAGCACAGTGGGGGCGCCTGGATGGCTCAGTTGGTTAAGCAACTGTCTTCGGCTCAGGTCATGATCCTGGAGTCCCGGGATCGAGTCCCGCATCGGGCTCCCTGCTCAACAGGGAGTCTGCTTCTCCCTCTGACCCTC